TCCCTCTCCCCCTCCTCCTCTTCTTTTTTTATTTTTTAAAGACAGGGTCTTGCTAAAATGCCCAGACTAGGACCAGCCAGATAGCTCAGCAGACTAAAGTGCCTGCTTCGCAGACGCAGGGACCAGGTTCAATCCCTGGCATGCCATGCCAGCCCCACCCCTGAGGCATGCTGAGAGGCCACTGAGACTGGGCATGTGGCACACGCCTGTAATCCCAGCACTTGGGAGGCTGAAAACAGGAGGATCACTATGAGTCCAATCTGTACAGTGAGACCCTGTAGACCTTGTCCTAAATACATTTAAAAAAAGAGTTAATGTTTGACCAACCTTGCATGCATATATCTGGTAATCGGAGCAACAAATCTGAGAACAATATGAACTATAACAACCATTGTTAATTTTCTATTCTTGTTTTGAAATTTTGTACCATTTTTATTGTTTTATGTTGCTCTAGTTTTGTCTTTGTTCTAGTTTTGGGTTTTTTCTCTTTAATATAAAATTTAAAAAATAAAAAGGAGGGGCCAAGGAGATGGCTCAGTGGAATAAGCGCTTCCCTGGCAAGTTCAAGGCCCCGAGTTCAATCCTTGGTTCCGCCAAAAAAAAAAAAAAAAAAAAAAGGAAAATGTGTAGTGTCTCACTCCTCAAAATTGATTAAAATAGAGCCAGAGAGCTAGCTCAGCGGCATAAATGACTGCCTAGCAAGTAAGTGCAAGGTCCTGAGTTCGATCTCAGGTACCGAAAAAAAAAATTGACTAAAATGGTTAAGTGAACAGCAATCTGGAGATTTCATGAAGGGCCTGGGGAGACAGCTCAGTAGATAAAAGAAAACAATGAGCTCTGGGTCATTACTGCTATTACTATTGCATAGTTATTATTTTGTAACCTATTGTTCAATGAACCGTATCCTGCTCACTTTTCCCCCTCGCTGAATCTTTTTTTTTTCCCAGTACCTAGGATTGAACTCGGGACCCTGCATTTGCCAGGCGAGCGAGCGCTTATTCTACTGAGCTATCTCCCCGGCCCCCCTCTGTGCATTTGAAACATCCTAATCTCTTTTTTTTTCCTTCATACTGGAGATGACCTCCGAAGCCCCTGGCTTTTTTGTTTTTTGTTTTGTCTTTTAAATATATTTAATACAGGGTCTACAAGGTCTCACTACATAGTGACCCTTCTGTTTTCAGCCTCCCAAGCGCTGGGATTCCGGGAGCACCACCACACCCAGTCTCATTTGCCTCTCAGCGCCCCAGGGGCAGGGCTGGCGCAGCACGCAGGGGACCACACAGGGAACCAAACCTGGTCCCTGCTTAGTCCAGTGTGCTACCTGGCCGGGGCTGGCTTTTGCTTTTCTAAGGAGCCTCCTGAGAACCTGTACGACTTACTGCTGCTGCCTCTCCCAGCCCCACCCCCAATCAGCAGCATTTTGCTTCGCTTACTGGCTTGAGCCCAGAGCCTTCCCGCTGAGCAACATCCTCCGCCCTTTATTTTGAGACACAGTCTCTCCTAAATTACCGAGGATACACTCTCGCTTGTGGTCCTCCTGCCTCAGCCTCCCAGAGCCTGGGATTACAGGGGAGTGCCACCACATGCCTGGCTGGTTTCCCTGTATTCTTGAAGACAGGTATTGTGACTAAAGTCCGATGAAATCTCACAGTAGTTTTTATCTGCAGTTCTGCAGTGGCTAAAGATGTTGAACTTTTTTTTTATATCCTTATTGGTTCATCGTTTGTACTTGAGAAATCTCTGTTCAGCCCATTGTTTAGGGTATGATATTTTGTTTTGTTTTTGTGTGTGTTTTTGAGATAAGATTTTGCTATGCAGCTCAGGATGGCCTTGAACTCACTTTGTAGCCCAGGCTGGCTTTGAACCCTACTGTGATTCTCCTGCCTCAGCCTCCTGGATTACAAAGGTGTACTACCGTGCCTGGCCTGTAGTTCTTTTAAACACTATTGCTTACCTTTTTTTTTTTTTTTTTTTTTTTTAAACGTGATTATTTAATTTTTTTAAATATTTATTTATTTTTATTTATTACATTTATTTATTGTGTGTGTGTGGCCAGTTCAGCCCACCAGGGGGCGGGTCTGGCTGGCATGTGGTGCTGGGGATCGAACCGCGGTCCCTGTGCTTTGCCAAGCTTGTTTCAAGTAGGTGCTTTAGACCACTGAGCCATCTCTCCAGCCCTCTTTTTTTTTTTTTTTTTTTACAGGCTCCTCTTACTGTGTACTTCAGGCCAGCCTTGAACCTAGTATGTAGCACTCAGGCTGGCCTCAAAGTCATGGACATCCTCCTGTTTCAGTGTCCCAACAGCTGGGACCCCAGGCATGGCCACCACACCCTGTATCCCAGGCTTAAATTTTCAAATATATGGAATGCGATCCTACTATAATAGCTAGTAATGTCTTCTGGTGGCTGTCACATCCACGGCAGGTCTAGGCTGCTCGCAGTTGAATTATTATTCTCCTCCAGGAGTTGTTTGCCCACCTTTTCGCAATACCTCCGGCTGTTCTTTGAGTGCATGTGCATGACTGAACCAGGGCCTTCACAGTGTGCTACAGCGCCAGCCTTTATCTTAGGAGACAGGGTCTTGCTAAGTCACAAGGTTGCCGAGGTTTGGGCTCAAACTTGCAGTCCTCCTGCCTCAGCCTCCCAGGGTACAGAGATTCCAAGAATGCATGGTCACACCCAGCTCCTCTGGGTACTTTTATTTTTTTGGTGGCCTAAAGGGCATTTCTGGTTTGGCGTGAGTATCTGGGTTCGAACCACGGCAACTTGAGCGTGAGTGCTTTGTTTAAGCAGGCACTTAAACAACTGAGCTAATGGGCAGCCCCCCTCCTCTGGGTTCTTTTTAATAGGAAGTATTTTAAGTTGAAAAAAAAAAAAAAACCAACCATGTTGGGGGCTATTTTTACCTCTTCTTGGTCTTGCTCTGGGATGCATGCAGTTACATAAAACAGTTTTGTCTCCTCGGATCTTGTCAGTGAGTCTGGAGCAGGACAGAAGGATGCGAGGCTTCAGGGCTGGATGCCCGGCCGCACTGACAGCAGAGTGGATAAGGAGCGGGCAAGCTCCCGCCCAGCAGCTGGCCGGGGCCACACACACCTGTTGTTCCCGCTGCTTGCAGAGCTGAGGCAGGAGGATGGTACTGCTGAAGCCAGGCAGAGTAACTCAAAAGAGACTCGGTCTCAAAATTTTAAAAACTGAGTCTGAGAGGGCCATCTGGCCGCCAGGTCACCCTGTTGACCGCCAGGGTTGCGGCTGATGGCTGGCTGGAGGCCGGGCGCCTTTCCTCCCTCACACTTCAGGCAGGTCAGGACGCTTGGTCCAAGAGGCCACACGCCCCTCAGAAGAGGCGGGCCTTCTCCTTGGTCAAAGGGTGTGCAAGCAGCTGCGCTTCCCTGCCAGAACCTTCCAACAAGTGCTCAAAATAAAGAATGAAAAGGGGTTGCCACTCAGTGGAACACCAGGACCACAGTAAGTAAACAAAAATGTCAAAGCGCCCGGATGTGGCCCACCACTCCCTGCGTTCAAAACCCAGTATTGCAGAAAAAAAGCTAACGAAGGATAAGGGGATGATCCTGGGTGGCCCCGCTCTCCCCCACCCTTTCCCTGTTGTGCTCTGGCCAGCCACTGGGAGGAACTGGGCTTGGGCTGGGGACCACCCTTGCAGCCCTGCCAGTCAGGCCTCACCACTTGTCCCTGCCATGCTGGACCGCTGCCCCGTACGGCTGCCCGATGCAGGGCCCTGGGGCGGGGCCGGGCTCCTCCAGGGGCCACCACCCGAGTGCCTCTGTCGGCTTCCGTTTCAGCCTGGAGTTTTCCTGATCATTCTGATTTTAGTGGGGAGAGGAGGCGCTGGTGCAACACTTGCATGCATGGAAGTAAGCTCCGCTTGAGGAGGGCCAGGGCAGAGCCTCTGCAGTTGTAAGCAAACAGACACCTCATGCGCTTCACCTCCTTTCTCCCAGTGTAAAACGATGCCGGTCACCAGCATGGACTCTGGCACACCCGTGACTTGTTCCCGTTATCCCGTGTGGGCTGTTTCAATGAGACCATTTTTGAAAGCGCTGGCCAGGGCCACCAAGTTGCCAGGGACCACCGGGCTCAGCCCCAGCCATGTCCCCTAAGCCAGAAAGAGGCGACCAGGAGGCGCTTAAGGTTGAGGCTGCTTTCCCGCGTGTCACAGACAACGGAGCACAGCCGGGGCAGTGGACAAACCTTCCCTTCCTGGGCCCGGCGCCCGGGGGCAGCGGGCGCGCCTAAGCCCCGCCGGGCCCGAGGCCGCCCGCGCCACTCACAGCCTGTCTCAAAATCCAAAGGACAGTGGGTGTGGGTCAGAGGTAGGGCGACCTGCGCTTGATCTGAGGTACAGAAGATTTAAAAGCTGCCGGGGTGGAAGGTACCGTCCCAACTAGGGAGACCCAGGCCCCGGGTCGGACCACAACACTGGCCGCCGCCCGGGGCACGCCGGGAAGCCGTACGCAGCGCAGCCCCGCCCGCTACGCGGCCCTCCACTGCCCCCTGCCGCCGCGCGCAGGCCCTGCAGGCGCGCACCGCCAGCCCCGCCTTGCGATTGGTTGCTCCCCAAGGGTCGTGCTGTCCGCCTTCTGCGGCCGGATTGGCTGCGTTCGGGCCAGATCCACGCCCACCTCTGGGGTCCTTTGATCACGCGTCCGCCCGCTCTTCCGGGCCCGGGAGCCAAACCAGGGCATTGCTGTCCCTCGGCCACCGCGGCGGGAGGTAAGACAAGGCCGGGTTGGAAGGGCTGCAGAGCGCCGACGCGGCCCACGCCTGGGGGTGTTGGGGCCCGGGTATGCCCAGGCACAGGGCAGCCCCGACGTCTCCGCCCCTGTTGATCTTCCCGCGCCGTGAGAACCACCTGCCGCCCGCCGCCGCTGGCCAGCCAACATCCTCGGAGCGGCCCGATGCCCTCCCTGGGCCCTTCACCTGGCCGGTGAGCTGCCACCGGGCACGGGCCGCCCGGAGCCCCACGGACACGGGGCAGATAGCTCGTACCTTGGCTCTGGCTCTGCTAGAGACCCTGGCGAACCTGGGTCAGGGTCCTGGCCAAAGTCGTGCAAACTGCTCCAAGGTGTCTCCGCTTCTGTCGCTGAGCCTGAACCTGTCCACCCCTGTCTGTCGGCCCGGGCCAGCAGGGAAGGACCTGGGTGGAGCTCGGGGTGGAGACCAGAGAGGTGACATCATCTGGAAGGCACAGACCACCCCTCCCCATTGCGTCCACACTAGCACCAGAGACCGATTGAGGTCGGGGGCTGCAGGCTGTCGGTAGTGACACCTGGAGTGAGGAGGACGCAGCGCCATGCACGGGGCCCATAAGCCTGAGCGTGGGGACCAGACCAGGACCGAAGTAGTCCTTCCGATGCCCATGTCGTCCTGGGCTGCAATGCACGACCCTCTTGTGTTTGCCAGTTTGCGCCCCTGGACCGGAGGCCAGGGGAGGAGTAAACCTTTTCCTGGTAGTTGAGCGTTGCAGGCGCTTGACCAGCTTCGGTGCGGGAGCCCAACCCTGATTTAGGGCAAGAGGTGATCAAAAAGCAGGCCCTGGATTTGGGCCCTCTCGAGTGCCCCTATGACCCGGGATGTGCCCAGTCCTTGTAGAGTACCTCCCAGCACGGGCACTGGAGGTTGCCCCCCCCCCCCCAGTGTCTGACCTGGGATGATTCTCACAGATCTCCAGCTCTGAGGTATCCCAAGCCCTAACCTCCCCCTCCTCTGCAGGGAGCCTGGTGGAGGCCCCTCCCAAGGCCCTGCTGCCAATGCTGACTGCCTGGGCCTCCGGCTGCCGGTGTCATGAGTAACACCACAATGCCCAGTGCCCCCCAAGCTGACAGCGACTCCATGGTGGGCTATGTGTTGGGGCCCTTCTTCCTCATCACCCTGGTTGGGGTGGTAGTGGCTGTGGTAAGGAGCGCCCCCCATACCCTGCCTTAGCTGAGGCAGGGGCTGTGTAGTCCAGCTGGTGTGCCCAGCCTCCAGCTGTCCTGGGAAGGGTGTGGTGGGGTCCCTCACCCAGGGTGGCCTCTACACTGGAGTCTCTGTTCCAGGTAATGTATGTACAGAAGAAGAAGCGGTGAGTGACCCTGATGCACCCCCTCACGGTCTCCCCTGCTGTAGCATGAGTTCCCTAAGTAAATGGGATACCCCTGCCCTTCCGGCCTGCACTTTTGTCTTGCTCAGCGTCAGCATCCCAGGGAAGGGAGGTCCATGTGGTCAGGTGTCTGATGTCCCCACCCATTCCCCAGGGTGGACCGGCTGCGTCATCACCTGCTCCCCATGTACAGCTACGACCCAGCTGAGGAGCTGCACGAGGCTGAACAGGAGCTCCTCTCTGACGTGGGAGACCCCAAGGTGAGTGTGGGCACCAGGTAGACTGGCAGTTTCCTAGTAGTGGGTCACTGCTGCCCCCAGCCTCAGCTTGGCCTCCCACAGATGGTGCACGGCTGGCAGAGTAGCTACCAGCACAAGCGGATGCCCTTGCTGAACGTCAAGATGTGACCTGGGCCCCAGCCTCCCCTGCGAGGGAGTCTGCACCTCCACCGTTGTCTCCCACTCCTTGCACTGGTTCCTTTTCTGGGGTAGAGGCCAAGCAAACCTGCTTTTTCTTGACAGCCTGGTACACTCTCCAGGAGGGTGGTCAGCTGTTCCCTGCTGGTGTTGGGCCAGATGTACATCCAGTATATATACTATTTTGTAAATAAAGTGTTTTGTGTTCAAGGGTGTGGCTGACTTCCCTAAGGAATCCAGGCTGAGTCCAGTGCCAGGGGCTGATACAGAACCCACCCCAGCTGGGGGAGGACACAGCACAAGACAGCAGTCCAGAAAAGGATATTTTTTTTATTCAAGTAACTGCAAATAGGAAACCAGAGGGGGAGCCCCAGGCTGGGACAAATAATGGCCATCCTCCCCAACAGAACAGGGGGAGCTAGTGGCCCCTACACCCTTCCATAGTCGACATGGCCCCTCCTCACTGTGCGGCAGCATCCAAGGGGCAGCGCCCCACCTTCCCTGGGTCGAGGTGCTCTGCACCTAGCCTGGGCACCCCCACCCCAACTTGGGGAGGGAATAGGGCAGAACAGGAGGCAATGATGATGAACATCTGGCGCTGATGGCAGCAGCAATGACAAATGTCTAAGAGTGAAACATTGAACAAAAAACCAACACAACTGTCCAGAGGTAGTTTGTGAACAGAGGAAAAGATGGAACCAGAACCTTGGGGGAGGGGAGCTGAGGGGTGAGGAGCATGGGGCAGGCTTGGTGTTGGCGCCCTCCCAGGGTCAGCGGCTGCAGTGAAAGCAGGAAGGTGGGCGCAAGCCTAGCCTTAGGCAGCTGCCAGAAGGGCCCTGGGCCTCACCTGAGCAGGTGAGGGCCAGCTGCTCTCGAGGGTATGGCAGAGGGCAGGGCCTCTGGCTCTCGCTCCTTCCTATACCCCAGGAGGTGTCCAACCTGGGGACTGACTAGGAAGGCTGGGAAGGAACAGGAGGGTGAGCCCTACTGGGCATTTAGGGGGCTAAGCCTCCCCCACTGGCCACCTGGCTGCTGCCAGCACAGTGGGGTAGGGCGTGGCAAGCGTGAGATGGGGCAAGGACCCCTTAAGGCCAGGGGAGCCCTCCCAGGCCCCTAGAGGGGAAACCAGAGGAAACAGGGAGGAATGGAAGGTCCCAGAGCAGTGACCCCGAGGCAGCGGGCGCAGGGGGTGGGGAGCGGCTAAGCAGACGTTAGCCTTGTCCAGGAGGGCAAGTGTGTGCGGGCAGGGGCTGCTCCTCAGGGCCGCAGCGCTGGTGTGCTGTAGTGTGGGGCGGGGCGGGGCGGGGTGACAGGCCTGGGGCGGGTGGGGCGGGGCCAAGCTGTCCTCCCAGGAGGAAGGAAGTCGCTCCTCCTGGGAGGGGCGGGCGGCACCGCGCGGGTCACTGCTCCTCCTCCGAGGACTCCTGCGAGATGCCCTCCTCTTCCTCCTTCTCCAGTGGGTAGGCAGGGTGGGCAAAGTGGGCAGCGCGCTTAGCCCCTCCTCCACCCCAGAGCCACCTCCTCCCTGCACTCCCCCGCTCTCCAAAAGGGAGATGAGTCAGGGCTGAGTGTGTGGGTGACTCAGCAACCTCCATGGCCGGGATTCATTCATAAAAATGAACAATTTAAAAGGAGGAAAGAACCACACACATGCTGCTCTTGCACAGCCAGGGGCCAGGCACTGGCCATGAGCCCATGGGGCAGGAGGGCAAGCACAGGGCAGCACCCAAGGCACTGGGGGCCCTAGAGAAGACTGGGCAGGGGTGAAAAAGCCAGATGCCTGCAGCCACCAGGGCAAGTGCTGGGTTCCCTGGGCGGCCCCAGGCTGACCCTGGCCTAGGGTGGGGAGGAAGGGGAAGTGTGTGCCGCTGGGCTCACTCACAGGGCGGGAATGCAGGGCCACCACAGCCCCCGTGCCAGGCACAGTCCAGAACAGCCTGCTTCCTGTTACTCACTTGTGGGCCTGGGACGGGGACACCCCCAACCCGTCCCCAGGGTCAGCTCAGCCCAAGAACGGAGGGCAGGAAGGCCAGGTGGGGTAGGCTGGGGAAGGTTCCCCTCCACACTGGCTCTTTTCTTTCCAAGGACTCTCAGATAAGCCTCTCCCTTCCCTATGGCTTGTCACCTCTGCAGTGTATGCCGCAAGACCTACCCTCACACATCATGTCCCCCTGGGAGCCGCAGAGACCCCCCACCTGCCACCACACAAACACATACAGGCAGGGCATGGGCACTTGGCCTGGCACCTGGATGCCCTTCCCTTTGGGGCCAGCCATTTCCCAGGACAGCTGAGCACCTACCAGTTTTTTAGGTCTGCCCCGTGGTTTCCTCCCTGGAGCCGTGGTAGTTTTCTAGATGGTCAAAGAAAACATCCCCAAGTCAAAGATGTTGGGCAGGGCTCACAGTGCCAGCACCTGGCAGGGATGGGGTGGCCACCTGTGCCCAGCTGCCCATGACTGGTGGCCACAATCACCCCCTACCCAAGTATACACACGGCCCCCAACCCCTCCACCATGACTCAAGAGGATGTGAGTCGTGTCTTTAAAAACAAAAGTTTTTTCTTGGCTGATGCTACTTTACTCTGGCTCTGCCCTTCTCCAGCGACCCTAGGTTGAAGGTGACACCCGACCCAGAGACCCAGAGAGGGCACAGGCCAGGCTCCTTGGTCCTCACTGTGCCTTCCTCCACACCAGGAAAGCACACTGGGCCTCCTGCCATTTTCAGAGCGAAGGCTGGGGCCCAGCAAAGCAGAGGCTGCGGGGATGAGGGCCCCAATTTTCAAGCCTCACCCGGATCTTGGCAGCACCCTTGTTTTTGCTCCCCTTCGGTCGGCCTCGAGGTCTCTTAGGTGTTGGCACTTCACTGGGCTCCTTCTGCGAGGACAGAGGGGTAGTCAGGAACACAAGCCCAACCCTGAAAACAGGCAGGCCTGAGGCGCCCCTACAAAGCCCCAACCTCAGGGCTAGGGAGATGGCTCCATGGAATAACTGCTTCCCCAGCAAGAACAAGGGCCTGAGTTCAATCCCTGGTTCCGCCAAAAAGTGAATTTAAGCCCCTACCTCTGCAAAGCCTCCCCCAGTTTCCCTAAAGAAAAGTAAAGACAACAGATCAGACCTGAGAAGGGTGGGGCAGCAGAAAGGCTGTGGGTCCCTGTCCATGGTCCACTTTATTTTTTTTTTTCCTTTTTCATGGTCCACTTTAAACAAATGGTCAACACTGTAGCCTTGGTTTTTATGACAAAAAGCCAACCAATGATGTACGTCCAAGACCCAGCAATGGCCTCGCTGATACCTACCCTCTCAAACACATGCTGGAGACTGTGGGGACCCTGCCTTCTCCTTAATTCTGGTTCCCTCCGCTGAGACCCCAGAGATCCCACTGAACTTGCTCCTAGCACCTTCTTGAGCCCTAGACAGAATAAAAGACCACCCTGCAAGCGCACAGGAACCGGGCTAAGAGAAGCCCCAAACCCGCGCTGAAGGGTGCAGCTGAGTCAACTCCTCCCAGAAGACTCTCCTGGCTGCCTGAGCCCATTCTGGGACCCACTGGGAGGGGCACTAGGATATGAGTGTCACTGCCACCCAGTACATTTAAAGAGACAAGACAGAGCCCATCTCAAGCCCCAAAGCACAGCTCTGGGACACAACTGGGCTGGGAACTTGCCAGCAGCCTAAGATGACAAAGTCCAGAAGACACACAGTAAATGTGCAGACTTTCTTGTTTCTGTTTTCTAGAGTCTCACTATGTAGCCCTGGCTGGGACAACTTTCAACTCCGAGATCTGCCTGGCTCAGGTTCCCAACTGCTGGGAATACAGACGTGTGCTGTGCTTCCAGGATTCTAGAGAAACTTTCATGGCGACTAACAAAGAGCTACATGCAGTGAGCCTTAGGATTACAGGTACTAAATGTAAATCTACCTATCTGACTTTGGCTGGGGAGGCAGCTTACTGGTAGAGTGCTTCCTGGCTTCTATCCCAAGTACCATCAAAAAATTAGTAATAAGGGCCGGGGAGATGGCTCAGTGGAATAAGCGCTGCCCTGGCTAGCGCAAGGGACATTTACTGCACTGTTGTAACATACGGCTTTTCTTTTCCCAAAGCTGTATGCCTAACCCTGTTTATATTTGAGACTTAAGTCACAAAGTCTGCTCTTTAACTTGTACTCCTCCTGCCTCAACCAATCAGAATGCTGGAAATAAAGGTGTGTCACCCTGCCCAGCCTTTTCCATTTTTTAATTCACTTTACTACCAGAAATAAAATTTAGCCAAGCGTGGCTAAATAACCCCAGCACTTGGGAGGCTACGGCAGGAAGATTGTTTTGAGTAGGAGACTAGCCTGGGCTATATAAGCAAGTTCAAGACCAGCCTGTATTACCCAGTGAGACCTTGTCTCAAAAACCAAAACTTAATTTCATAGCCAGATATAAACGGCGGCAGTTAGAAATTCGGTGAAACTTTGTCTTGGAAACTAAATTTTTAGGAAAAGGTGGGTACAGGCAAGGAGGCTGGCTGAGGCAGGAGGCTTACCAAGAGTTTGAGACTAACCTGAGCTACATTGTGAGTTCAAGGCCAATCTCAACTACAAGTACATAATGAGACTCAGTCTGAAAAACACAATAGGGCCAGGGATATGCTCTGTGGCATAAGCACCTACCTGGCAAGCAAAAAGTCTGGAGTTCCATCCCTGGTATACATACAACGCAACACAACACACAACAACAAAAGGGCTGTAACATAGTTCAGTGTCGAAGCCCTAAAGTCAATCTCTGATACTGCAAATAAAAAAACCAAGGGTCCCTGGCTACAGGGAACCTGAGGTGGGTGGTAGCTTTCAGGCAGACCCTACCTGGCCTCCCGTGGCCCCCACTCTGCTGGGGTCTGGAGGCATGATACAAATGGCTAGCAAGCAAGCACATAGGGCATGTGGAGCCCACACAAGGAATCGACGGTCCAGATTGTCTCTCTACACCTTCTCAGTGAGTTGACACTGAACCTAGGCAAGAGGCAAAGCCTGGACACCCACCGGACTCACGGGAGGTTGCTTGCGTGGCCTGCCCCGGCCTCGCTTCTCAGTGCCGTCCTTCTCCTGCTTGGAAGCCAGGGGCTGGCTGGACTTGGAGCTTGACTCGCTCATCTTCCTTCTCTCCGGGCAGGTAGAGCGCTGCTGGGATGCTGTGGAGGAGACACAGTGTCAACACCAGGGACCACGCCACGCCCCTCTCCCCAAGGGGCCTTGTAGCCAGCCTGCAGCCATGGGCCCAGGCCTGGCCCCCACCAGGACACCAGGAGCCAGCTCCAGATTCTGGCAGGCGCCCCCTGTGCTACTGCAGGGTGGGGCCAGCCTGGCAGTTGGCCCTAATCAGTTCCTTATCTCCTGCGCAGAAGGGCTCTTTGTTGTCCTGCCCAAGGCCACCCCCACAAGGCCCAGGAATAGTGCAGAAAGCACAGCCAGCCCAGACCTGGTTTGGGGGTGCGGCTGCCCAGGACAAAGGTTTGGGCAAAGCTGGGGTCCCACCCTGAGTCAGCTGCTTACTTCTCCATGCCAGGGAGCTCAAAGGGACCTTGGGAGCTGCAGCCCCAAGCTGGTGACACTGCAAGACCAGCAGTGGCAGGCCTGGACCCACCTGCTTCTCTTTCCCAGAGCAAATCCTGGACTCAGATGGGGACAACTGAGGGTAAGAGAAGATGGCTGAGCCTGCAGGGGGAGGACAGAAGTGGGGGGAGTCTTCTTGGCTGCCCAGCCTGTCTCATGGGGACTTCCCTGTGATGGCCAATTGCGGGAGGAGCAAGGATTCTGAAACCCCTTCAACAGGACCGCGCTGTGCTCCCCTTCTTTCATAAAGACTGTTGTGTTTATCTGCTGCCAAGGGGGCCTTCAGCTTCTACCTGGTAACCTCTCCTAAAGAATTAGAAAAGACACCAAGCCAGACATGGCAGTGGCACACACTTGAACCTCAGTACTCAGAAGCTGACGCAGGAGCATCTCCAGGAGTTTGAGACCAGCCAGGAACACACAGCAGAACCCTCTCAAACAAACCAGACACTGACTCCTAGTCCTCCTCAGTCTGTATCCCCAAGTACCAGGCAGGTGGGAGCTGGCACAGTACTCCCACCCTGAAAACCCATCTGCCTCTGAAGTGAGGAGACCACACAGCACCTGCCTCGCACCCCCACATTTCTCTATACTAAAAAAACTCCAAGTAGATGCTATATACAAAACTTAAATAGTGAAAAATCTAGGCTGGTCAAGATGAGAACCACAGCATTACAAGTTAACTTTCTTCCTCTTGGCCAACTGAGGCAATTTCCAGTTTTAACCCAATGGCAGAAAGTTTTGGAAACTTGTGCTTTTTGGAGGCTTCACAGCCCCCACCCTCAAGCCCCCAGAGACCCTCCAGACTGCGGGACTTCGGTAATTATTCTATTTGATAATATTTCAGCCTCAGAGACCCTTTTAACCAGGGTGGTTGCCTTTTCGTCCTGCTCCGTCATTAGTGGCTTGGTCTGCTCTGTAATTACAGGCAGTGATTAGAATCTTCTACTACACCACAGGTCCCCCTTCAAACCCAACATCAAAATTAATCAGCTAAATGAGCGCTGACCTCACAGAAGGCCTGCCTCAGGCCGCTCACGGGGGGCTGCAGTCGCCCGCCAGTCCTGAGTCGCAGGGCAGCCCAAGGGCCTGGGCGCTGGCGGCTTCCCTGGAAGCACTGGTGCCATCTGGTGCCGCCTCCCACCCCGCGCTGTTGGGGACCCTTTAATTCACAACCCCACACCCAGCCAGGCCCCCACGGATCGGGATGAGGGCCGCCAGGGAGCAGGCCAGAAACGTCGTGTCTCCCACCTGTTTCTGGCTATCATGGGAGGCCTGGCCCAAAAGGAGCCACATTTTAGGGCCTCAACCCGAGCCCTCCCTGTGGAGTAAGCCCTGAAGGCCCCATGCCCGCCTCCTCGCCCACGGCGCGCACAACGTGGCCCTCAAAAGCGTAAAAACTGCAGAAATGACCTCAGCAGAAAGAGAAGACACGGACAGTCCCATTATTTAAAATGAAAAGTGGCCCAGAGAAGCCCGAGGCGGGGCCCAAGGTCACACAGCAAGTTGGCGAGCGGGGGCTGGCGTCCCGGAGCCCCAGCGGCCGCCGCTCCGCTCTCCAGCAGGGCAGGCTCGGACTCGGGCCCCGAGGCGCTGCGGGGACTGCGGCGACCGTTGCAGGCCAGCAGCGGGGCGAGGGGGGAGGGGCGCGGCCGCCTGCAGGCGCGGGAAAGCGACGCACCCCGACCGCATGCCCGGCCACGCGGGTGCACCGGCCCCACTTCCTGCCAGAGGGGGCACCCAAGGCCGCCTCGGGCAGGAAACCTGGCGCGGAGGAAGCAGCCCCCTCCCCCTCCCGGGAAAATAAACCCGGGGTAACAAACCCCGGAGCGGGGCGTCCAGGAGACTAGTTCCGACAGCGCCCGCAAAGCGGCGAAACCAGTTTGTGGGGGCGGAGGGCAGGCCCGGCCCTGGGGGCCCTGGAGGCGCGGGCCCGGCCGAGGTGGGGTCGCAGGGCTCGCCCTGGCCCCCAGCCTGCCCCGCACTTCGGCAACTTCCCGGCGGCGGCGGGGACCAACCAGCCCGGCCCAGCCCGGCCCAGCCCGGC